CCGCTCGGCCGCCGCCCCATTGGTCCCCGCTCCGCACGCCGCCTCGCCTCGGGCTCCCAGTCTGCGCTCCCCGGGCCGAGGGCGCGGCGCTGTGCAGCGGGCGGTTGCTGGCTGCCGGGATCAGGCCGCGCGACAGGCGAACTGTTGGATGGACAGAGAGGCGGCCCAGTGGGGCGCGCGCCCCCGCCCAGACCCAAGTGCAGAGTCACCCGTGGAGCTGCGCGCCCAGGCCGGGGGGAGCCGGAGCGCGCCCCGCGCCTCCCACCTGCGAGCCCTCCGGGGCTGGGAGCACCTTGAACCTGTGGGAGGCGGATGACCTCCTCTGCGGCCCCGGCGGCTCCGGCAACCGCCTCTCCTCCCAAGCAAAGCCCTGCGAATTTGCCGGGATTTTCTTAGTAAGTATCGCGGCCCCCAACTTGTTTTAAAACAAAGTGCGAAGGAGGAAACAGACTCAGGTCCTGCCTGTTTACCACCAGCTCGGCTGCCTGAAGACTCGAGCACAGTGCAGAGCAAGATTGTTTCACACGCTCCATTCCTCGACTTACCAGATCAGAAGAGGTGGCGGACGTATGCACTGAGCAAGGAGGACGAGTCCGGTCCCCTTCCCGAAGGTCAGAGGAAGATGCCTTCTGCCGAGGTTGAGGAACGAACCAGGACTTCAGCAAGGCCGGCGTGTGGTCCAAAGGCATCGCCCGCCCCTCTGCAGTGAGCGAGAAGGCTCAGTGAACCGCCCGGAGGAGAAATGGGACGCTCGCTCGGGGACCCACCCCCGCGCTCCCCCGCCCGCCCCCAAACTGCAGATTTTTAAGTTGTGCAGACTTGCAATAATTCCTCAGAGCCAGCTGCGCCAAGCTGTAGGTGCCCAGTGTTCCTTGGGTTCCCGCCCCACGGCAGGCAATCTGCCAGCTGCCCCCAACCCAGCACCCTCTGATCACTGGCCTCAGACCAGCACCTAGCAAGACCACACATAGTTAAGTTCCAGACCCTGAGCCAGGCCCACGCGGGGAGGGGATGGGGGCAAAGAGATGTATGGAAAAGGTGAAAGACACTTTCTCTGACCTCATCGAAGTACCCGATGATGTCTTTGGGTTTTTCTCATCGTTTTTGTTCGATCAAAGCCCACAGTGGGAGTCAGAGGTAAGGGAGCAATATCTGGTAGGCTTTTAGAAGGTCAAACCTGCACCTTACAGGGAGGTTTGGCTAGAGGAGAGGGTGGCAGCAGGCAGGAATGGCAGAGGAGGACAGAAAACCTGCCTTCCCTCAGCCTCCAACATTTTCATGTGGCTCATGGAAGGTGAGGTGGGGGGCTCAGGTGACTGGAGAACAGGTGTTTGGGGGCCCTCTGACCCTGATCCCATGGTTCTTTAGCTCCCCCAAGCCTGCACCCTCTTCTGTGGAAGAGGGGCCAAAGCATTTGTCTACACTGCTGTTAGCAAGCAGCTGGAGAGGTAAATTTTCATGCACCATTCATCACCTTTAGCATCAAATCTAAGATTATTCTAAAAATATGTTTACATTGTGTCAGCACCTGAGAAGAATGCTTCCAGGTCTCTTCCAGCAGTTAGCTGTTAAATCATTTTTAAGTCACCAAGCTTATCCCAAAAGTCCGGCGTTGTTTACTTGAGAATGAACTATGTTCCAAATCTCTAAGCACTGCAGAAGGTATCTGCAGTGCAGAAGAGTCTGGAGTGAGGTCCTTCTCACAGGGTCTGGATGGCACATGTGAACTGGAGGAAAGGCGCACAAGGGGGCTCGGAAAGGGCCCCCACTCGGCATCTGTGAAAGCTGAGCACAGAAAGGTCAGGCCTCCACTCTGGGCATATTTGGGGGATGGGGTAGAAGGGGCACAGATTTGAGAGTCAGACAAACTGCGTTCTCATCCTGCTATACCCTGTGGGGAGCCCTGCAAGCAAGTCGCTTAGCTTTTCAGCCCTGGTTTCTTCATCTACAAGAAAAGTTTCTCCCTCAAAGGGTGATCATGAGAAGCCAATGAAATAAGAAACAGAAGAGCATTGCCTGGACCATAGAAAGCGTGTCTGTTCCCTGAAAGTTTACTAAGGTTGAGCCAGGCCAAGTGGTGACACACACACACACACACACACACACACACACACACACACACAGCCACACTCTCACTGCCTGTGTCTAGAGCCCCTTCCTCTGGCCTCAGTCTCCATCACCATGGTGCATGCACGGATCTGTCTGACTGACATGCTCTGATCTCCCTCCTTCCACACATCCACCTCTCACCCCATCAAAATGTCTTTTTGCCGCATGATACAACACCCCGTCTTCTTTTCACTAACCCTGCCCACAGGGAAGCGTCTGGGCAAGCCATGCACTAGGCTGTAAGGGGTTAATCACCAGCTGAGGACAGTGCTCACCCCCCACGGTTTCAGAGAAGATTCCCAGAGTCAGTGGAGGCGTCTCAAGCAGATGTGGGCTTTGTGCAGCCTGTCTTCCAGGGCTCCATATTCTCCTTGCTCTGGACACATCTCATTTTCCGGGTCTCCCTCTCTCACCCACTTACGCACAGGTCCCTGTACTCCATTCCCACTCCCCACCCAAAGCAGTCCTTGACCTTTCATTCTCGCTAAAGTCCAAATGACAGAGAACAGCTGGCTGTCACCCCTGGAGGCAAGGGAAATACTAATTTGCTTTTTAAATGGGGGACAGGTGTACACGTGGATATGAAGAGGCTCTCATCTCTGGTGGGAAGCTGGAGAGTGAAGGGGTATTAGTAATGATGGTCAACATTTATTCAGTTGGTGCCTTTTATTCGCTAGTCTTTACCCAGCCAACATGAGCACATTAAACACTTGCAATTCCCCCAACCCGCCAGGCTTTTTCATGTTTCCCCGCCTACTGCTTAGAATACCCTCGCCAAACCCTTCTTTATTCAACAAACTCCCTTTGTATTGGGATGCCATTCAATCTATAATTACTACCCTCTGGAAAGACCCCCTTCCTGTCCTGAATTACGTGTCTCCTCTCCCTTTGCATCTACCATAGCAACTGCCATATTGAATTTAATTGTTTATGTGCAACCAGGCAACGAGCACTCTGAAGACAGAATTTCCGGGCCCTTCTGCAGGGTCTGCATGTTTATGCAGTGAACGGCTGAAGGCTGTTACCCGGCTGCTCAGCCCCTGCTCCTGTGGGGACCATCCTCCTTTACTTCCCTGTTACCTTCTATCAGGTAAAAAGAAACATATAAACTATCACATTGATCTCTTTGCTTGGATGCCAGGCAGCTCAAGACCACATCTAGAATTCTTTCCTTCCAGATTATGGCTACAATGATCACTCTTCATTCACATAATCATTTGTATGCTTACTTTAAATGCCCTGTCATATTATTTTTATTTTGAAAGTGCCTTAAATATTTATCATCTTCAAGTTCAAAGACTTGAATTCTAATCCACCTCTGCCTCTGAACATCTCAGTGATATCTCCTCTCCAGTTCTGTTTGGGTTTGGACTAGATGATCTCCAAAGTCCTCACCACTTCTAAAATTTTTACAATTCTACAGATAAAAGGACACCGTTTACACATTATTAAAGGAAAAAAAAAAAAAAACCCTGTGACAGAATATGGCTTAAGTCTCCAGGCACAAAGGAACACTCTCCTAGGTACTTGGAGGTATCCTCTGAGGACTCCCAAGGTGAGTTCCATGGAACACCTGTGCCATGGTCAAAGGCTCTGGGCACACACATACTGCATTCCACTTGTCAATACATTTTAGCACAGTAAAGGCTCTGTCTGAGAAGTCAGGTCATAAAAATACTCCAAGGGATGGACTTCCAAATCGCTCATCTGGCCCAAACTTATCATTTTAGCCAGTGTCAAGCTCTTCACAATTTTCTTTCCATCTTACGCATTCCTACACATCTTCCACCACCCCAACACATACACTCTCCACTCACATTCCAACCTGGCACATCAGCTCCTTCTTTCCCCTGTGCTCATTGTGTGCTCTCTGAGCCTTGGCCCTATCTACACTCTATTGCTATAATGCCCCCTTCTCTACCTGGCAAATGCCAACTCAACCTCCAATATCATTATCACCCATTCTGTGACGCTTTCCCTTAACCCACAAATCATGTTTAGTTGTTCCTTCTACTGGGTTCATTATACTTTGAACAGTTATACTCCTGTAGTATTGTTTCCTGCTTGGAATGAGTCCCTTCTATTAAACTGTGAGCTCCTTGAAGGCTGATATTATGTGGTATTATTCAGCTCAGTACCTTCAAAGCCTGGCCCATTAAAGACGTTCCGTGACTGCTTTAAGTATAAAAAGGTGGGGCTTGCCTGGTGGCGCAGTGGTTGAGAATCCGCCTACCGATGCAGGGGACGCAGGTTCGTGCCCCGGTCCGGGAAGATCCCACATGCC